TTCAGCATTAATTATATTTGTATTTTTAAATTATTTGTTGTTTTTCTGGAATTCACACTTAACTATATGCCATGTGTTTTATTTGGCGATTCTAATTGGAAGAAATAAAAAGAGTTTCATGGAACAGATGGGATCAAACGAATAGGAGAGAGCACTGAGGAAGGAAAACTGACAAAGGCAGGAGGTACTTGAATTTTTTTCAGAGGCAATGAATGGAGAAGTTCATATAAACAGAAGTTTCATGCAGGAGAATAACATTAAGAGAACTACCAGGGACCTATTGTTGCTGTTGAATCATGTAATTCATCTCTGCTATTGCCTGAAAATCTTCAGGAAAAGCCTACACTTAAGTGATCTACTGGGAAGGCATTTAAGAGATGAAGAAAAGTACCTAAGCATCCCATTCAAGTATTTGCACGACAGAGGGAAAGATGCCAGCAGTAGAAAAAATCCCCAAACAGGAAAAGGAAATGAAGGACATATGTGTGAACACCCACCCATGGGAATCCCCAGAAATTTTGAGGGGGTCAAGGACATCTGAGGTTAAAGCACTTTTGTTTAAATTTCACTAAATGGGAAATCCAGCTAACACCTGGCTCCATGTGTACAAGAAAATGTCTATAGATATAACTTCTGGTAATTCAGGAGTAAATGATCACATGTGTCTGTCTCCCGTTGCCCAAGTTTTTCAACTCTTTTTCCTCTTGATAACTATTATTTGAACATCTCAGAAACTTTACCAATTTCATTCAATCTCAGAAACAGATGGGACAACTCAAGATTGAATTATTTTTCTCTCTTATCATGTCTGGCAAGAAATGTTATGGGGATATCTCTGTTTCATAAGCCTACACAAGTTTTCACAGCTATGAATGCTTAAGTGAGAAATACTGCTTTGCACCTACCCCATTACCTCCATGTATTTGAATGTGTATTTTGTACTCCTACATAAATACACTGATGAATTCAAATATGCATATGATTATAACTATTTTCTGGAGTGAGTGGGTTTAGTCTACAATAAAAGAACTACTCTGACAAATTAATATAGCATATTGTTATTTCCATAATAATGATCCCAGAGTGATTTTATTTGGCCAGCCATCTGTATGGCTTGAGATTGAAGGCTATTCCTTGACCATAATAACTGAAAGCTTCCTCCTGATAGGAAATTCTGTTTAGAGAACCTATAATCAAAGATGTCTAATGAGTTATTGGGTCATTAGAGAATGGACAGGATGTTTTACTTGCGTTTAAATGTTTATGGAACAGTCATAATTAGAGAGAAACCAGCCATCATAGTCTTTGCAATTATTATAAAATTATTGTTACTTTCTCCTAGTGTTTTAGTCAACTTTCCCTCATTATGACCAACATACCTCACAAGAACAATATAGGGGAGGAAAAGTTTATTTGGGCACTCGGTTTCAGAAGTTCAGTCCAAAGCCAATTGACTCCATAGCTCTGGGCCCAAGGTGAGTCAGAACATCTTGGCAGAAGGGCATGGTGGAGCAAAACAGCTCAACAAATAACAGCCAGGAAGCAGAGAAAGAGACCTGCCTCACCAAAGACAAAAAAAATATACCCCAAAGACATGCTCCCAGTGACCTACCTCCTGCAGCCACAGTCCTACCTTCCCACAGTTACCACCAAGTTCATCCATATAACTGAATTGATTAATTCAACTCTCAAAATCATTTTACCATTGAATGGTCTTGCCTTGTCTCACACATGAGCTTTTGGGGAATACTGCATACCTAAATAATAACACCTGAAAAAAATTTTTTTAAAAAAAGAATCAATGATTTGACATTATTCCTGAGATACGTGCATGATCCTAATACTTCTGAAGTGTTTGAGAAATCATAAAATCTAATCTACAACTTAATGTATTTCAATTTGAAAAGGGCATGATGATGCACAGCTAACTGACAAGTCCCTCGGTTAGCAGCAATACAGTTTTCCTGAAGCTGACAATTTATCACCCACCCCTTTTACTTATTAATATTGCTTATTTGAATAACATTGATCATCATTCTTTGAGCCATTTCTAAATCAATGTATCTATCTAAATTAATCACTTCCTCTTTGAGGTGTTTAATAATATTTCCATTTGTGTTTCAAAAACCCAAAGAAACAAAATCTAGCCTTTACCAATGGCACTTCCTTTAATTGTTCCTATTTCAAGACTTTTATCAATAGTTATATGCATGCCCTATGAATTTGTTCACATTCATTTATAATATGATACTTTCTTATTCCAACAGCTTATATGCCCAGATGAGCATGCACATGTGCTTGTATTCATGCAAGGTGCTAGAGTTTGAAAAAAAATAGATCTAGAAAACTGAGAGGCTGAGACCACAAGCTAGATGCTGGTGGCCATGGGTCTCTATGGAATAGAGTCCCCACCAAGCTGCTTCAGCCTCATGGAGATGGGCTTTGTGATGTGTTGGACTACAGGCAGGGAAGCCAGGATACTCTTTAGCAGCTTTTTCTGCCTCAGGATTAGTATGTGGGGTCATAATCTGATGGGCAGCTTTGGGAAAAGCATAACACAGGGTGGCGGTAGCTTTTGCACATTCATTGCCATTAGGATAGGCAGATGATGCTAACCAAGACAATGGCTGCTACATCTCCACCTTCACATCACCAGCCTTTGTACTATAATAAAAAAAGAAAAAAGTCTTGCTGGGCTCAGTGGCACATGCCTGTAATCCTAGCCCCTTGGGAGGCTGACACATGAGGATTGTGAGTTCAAAGCCAACCTCGGCTACAGCAAGGCACCAAGCAACTCAGTGAGACCCTGTCTCTGAATAAAAAATAAAATAAAAAATGGAGATGTGGCTCAGAGGTTGGGTGCCCCTGAGTTCAATTTCCAGTACAAATAAATAAATAAATGAATAAAACAAAGTCTTTGAATATTAAAAAAAAAAAAAACTACCTCTAACTTCACGACACAGTTTTAAAGTGTTTAAGTCAAAATAGATTCCTTCATGACGAATTCTTTTTTGTGAGCTATCAGAAGTTTTAAAACTTATTTTCACTTAATAAAGTCACTTTCTCATTATTTCTGAGTAATTTACTTCTTTGCTTCTACTTTTTGATATTGTCCTAAACTTATTCATTTTCACTGATCAGAGAGATGTAAAAATAGTTGAAAATTAAGTATTTCCACTTTATTTACTAATTGAAATTTTTAAAAAAAGATTACAACTATAGCCTAAAATCAAAAAGGTTTAATATTAACTAATTTCTTCCATTGTCTTTGAATCTTTTCATAATCTTCATAAAAATCATCTGTCTGAAGACAAATAAAAAGAATGCATTTCATACAGAGCATTTGTCAAAATGAAATGTAAATGACAAGATGATACCATAGACTCTCACTTGGGTCCCATACATATATATAGTACATGTGCCATCACATGTCCCCAAATGAATATATATATATATATATGTATATATATAAAATGATATTGATATAATTGTGATCCAATTCAGAATCAGTGGCAAGAGCTACTTTGATCATGTGTCAAGGTCAACTAGAGTGACAGGAGTTGAAAAGTGTATAGACAAGACAGTGGTGATGGGAAATGAGATAGCAAGCAATGACAGATGACAGTTCTTGTACTGTCTGTATCATTTCCCTACCCTCCTATCTAGGCAACATGTTTCTCAAAAAAAGCAGTCTCTGTGGCTCTGCCTCTTTTCTGAATCTTGCATATGCAGAACAAACATAATCCATGGAGGGTGTGGAGTGAACTGGTGGGGAGTCCACTGGGAGACCCTGGAAGTAGATATTAGGAATAAGGTATCAAAACCTGTGACTCCAAATCCAGCAAAACTCTGGGCATGATTCTGTCCTAAATTAGCAATTTTTAAAACAAAGTGAGGGCTGGGGATGTGGCTCAAGCGGTAGCGTGCTCGCCTGGCGTGCGTGCGGCCCGGGTTCGATCCTCAGCACCACATACAAACAAAGATGTTGTGTCCACCAAATACTAAAAAATAAATATTAAAAAAAATTCTCTCTCTCTCCCTCTCTCTTTAAAATAAAATTTAAAAAAATAAAACAAAGTGATTTCCCTAAATATCACTAGCTTTTACCTGAGTCACTTTTGTCTGAATCTTATTAAATAAGTTCCCAAGAGAACTTTAATAAGTTTAGTAAGAACTTCAAAGTTCCCAGGTCAGTGCTCACTCCAGCCATGCACTTAACATAAGGAATTAATTTGAACTGGAAAAACAAGAACAAGAGCCTGTGGGACACCAGCCTTTGCTTCAAGCGGGAGGTGTCAAAACTGGTACCTTCTGGACAGAGGCGGTTGTTCCCTCTACCACTCAGCACCATAGAATTTGAAGGAATCTTAGAGAGCATGTCATCTCCACTAAAGCCCCTCCCAAAGGCCATAGGAACAGCTGAGTATGTATGACCAAGCCTAGGACCCAGGGTCTCCTATTCCCAATCTGCACTCTCTCTCTACTAATAATAATGACTCTATTTTTCATCCTACCTACATGTGCCAAGCAGCATTCTAAGCAGTTCACAGTTGTTACCTTGTTTAATCCTACAACCACCCCCTGGGTAGCTATCTCTTGCTGCTGCCATTCTCAGGTGAAGAATCTGAGACTCCAGTATGGGTAACCTGCTCAATCCCAATACTGACAGAAGGGCTGAGCTTCCCGCTCCCTGGTCATAAAATAACAGGCAGGAGAAAGTTGATATAATTGTGAGCCAAATCTTTACTGGCTCTGATAAATTAATTACCCAACTGGCATATGAACCCCATGCCAGAAGCAAACTATGCTCAAAGCCACAGGCCAATCCTATCACCCTTCTTGCAGTTGCGAAAACTCTCTTTGTTAACAAGCCACCAACCAAAGCTGCCTGAGGTTGTCTGATTTCTTTGATTCTTCTCTTTTCATTTTCTTCTGCAACTAAAGCTTCCCTTGGAGCATATAAGCCAGTAAAAGACAGTTTTTCTTTTTCTGCTGCACAGAACCTGAAACGGGTGGCTGAGACCTGGATGGATGAATTTGCCGAGTACATTTACCAGCGGCGGCCCGAGTACAGACACCTCTCTACTGGGGACATCTCTGCCCAGAAGGAGTTGCGCAAACAGCTCAAGTGCAAGGACTTCAAGTGGTTCATGGCTGCAGTGGCCTGGGATGTGCCTAAATACTACCCTCCTGTGGAGCCCCCACCTGCCGCCTGGGGTGAGGTGAGGAAACTGTGCCCTTACCTGTGTGTGTCCATCTCTCACAGCCTCAGGTGCTGGGAGGGACAGCTAAGCCTTCATTCTTTATCCCTGCAGCCAAGCAAGATCAATTTAAATCACCTCAGATAAATGAATGCCCACCCTGTTTTTAGAAATCACTAGAAATAAGGATTCAACCCTCAGTATTGATAGCCCAACCCAGAACTATTGACCACTGTTGGCTCCTCAGATGGGCTTTTAAAAATGTACCTGAAAAGTCAGGTATGGCGGCGTACTCCTATCATCCCACCTACTTGAGAGGTTATGTCAGGAGAATAAGAAATTATAAGCCAGCCTGTGCAGTTCTATAGTAGAGCACTGGCCTAGCATGTGCAAGCTCCTGGGTTCAATTCCCAATACCACAAAAATAAATAAATAATCAAGCAAACCTGGAAAATATTTTTACTTGAGATTTGTGAAATTCTGAGATCTTGTAGAGAATGAAAATATATGTCATGACACAGTGCAAATAAGGGCAATCTGCTATCCATAATAAGATCCCTTGCTGTTCTCTATGCATAGCCCTGTTGCTGTTTTATATAGGCAAGGCGATGGGGGCGGGGCGGGGGGGGGGAGCACTTGGCTCTTTTTCTAACCAGGGTATATTCTGCAGAATCACGAAGGAATGCATTTCCATAATACATAGACTGTGGAATGTGCCAGAGCCATATTGGTTCCTGAAATAAGCAGTAACCTTTCCACCTTTGAACACTTCTACTTGATTTCACTTCCTGATAAAAAGAGCTGAATAGCCCCAGGTCCTAAATTTAAAGTGTCTGTCTTTTGGCATAAAAAGGACTATTGTACTGGGTTCCATGCCATTCAATGTTGTTACTGTAGCCATTTCCCTATAGAAAAGAATGTGCTGTAAAGCAAAGACTAGTACCAGATAAGGTGGATTTCTCCTGACAATTTAACCTGCTTTGAGCAGAGGATATCAAGGGGTAATGCAGGCTTGGCTGGGCCAGATGCCAACACTGTCCCAATTCTCCAGTCTTTCAACAGCCAAGGGCTGTCAATCATTTTGGAGGAGATTTTTGATGTCATCCTTGGCTTTACAGTGTGTGTGAGAAGATGCCATTGCTTAGTTATTGTCACTGGCTGGAGAACTCTGAAAAAAAAAAAAATTGTGTTTCATGGTGTGAGAGAAGAGGCCAGAGCGTTCAGGCATCTTTCCTGGTTGAGTTGTCCCAGTTCCCTGGAGAAGGTGCATTTACAATGTCACAGCAACTTGTTTTGCTGAAAGAATCCAAGAAAATGCCTTTCTCTGCCTGGACCTGGAATATCCCAGGTATGAGGGAAAGAGTCAAGGCCATCACCTCAAGCCCCATCTCCCTCCCCATCACACCTTTTTAGGGGGAGTATGTGTAGGTGGTCCTGACATTTTCAGCTTATTCGGCCTCATTATTGCTATCCTAAATATTTCATTAAAACTTCCCGGGAATATTAGTATTGTCCGTCTACTTGTATTGATTTTAGCTCTCTGTCATGAGCTTAATTTACAGCACTGGAAATTTAAAGTACATACTAGGAAGAACTTTCTTAGCCGAACATATTAGAAAGCATAAAGATTTGTTACCCAATAAGTGGAGAGTTTCCTCCTAAAGCTTTTTGGTTAATTATCTGTCTGTCAGCTTCCCACGGTGGTTTAAAGGCTGCCCTAACAAATAACTAAGAAATATATTTGAAGACCCCCAGAATAGCATTGTGTGATTTAATGCTGGGTTAAAATCTCATCAACCTTTTTTCTACCTTATGTAGAAACATAAATTTTTGTTCCTATCTGGCTACCACTTCAAACTGCAGTTGGTCATCTTTTCTCATATTACCTGATTAATCCATAACCTGAATTCATAAGGCTACTTGTTTCCATCGAGGAGGTTCTTGGAAAAATACAGCCTGCCAGAAATAATCAAAACAAGAGCCACTGAAAGACCCAGTGGGCTACAGCAGCGTGTTTTCATCCTTATACCAATTGCCTGTCACCGCAGGTCACTTGCCCAGAGACATGGCACTTATTGTTACTGGTTTAAACAATCAGAAACTGAGATAGGACTTTTTTTTTCACATGATGGTTAATTTCTTTCCCCCAAAGCTTCAAAACAGTAAAGAAATAAAGGTTATGTTTAGATTTAGGGAAGAATAAAATAAATGGGAGTAGAGTTCAAGGGCTGATCAGTTACATTTGCTGAGAAGAGATGTGGGTGTATACCAAGAGTGAAGACCTAGAAGACTGAAGAAAGGCAAAAAAAGAAGAGAAATCAACCAATGATAAGGCTTTGCACTGGCAAATAGTTTTGAAAAAGAATCTATTTCCCAGGTGGGACAGAATCCAGAAAGAAATGAAAGATGCACATTGAATTCCGAAGGCAGGTGAAGTATTTGTAATGCAGCTTCATCTAAATGAAGAGATGAAAAAAGAGTGTTTTAGTCAGCTTTGGCGTGGCTGGAAGCAAAACCTGACAAGAACAGCTTAAAGAAGGAAAAGTTTATTTGAGACTCATGGTTTCAGAGGTCTCAGTCCACAGAGGGCCAACTCCATTGCTCTGGGCCCAAGATGAGGCACTGCGTTAAGGGTAATGATCCAGCAGACGTAAAGCTGCTCAGCTCCTGGTGGGGTCAGGAAGCCCAGGGAGAGCGGCCAGAGGGGAAAAGGCCACAGGGAGGATGCACCCTTCCAGGGCACACCCCCCTCACCCACTTCCTCCAACCACCCCCCACCTGCCTACAGTTACCACCTAATCAGTCCGTTCAAACTAGGAGGGACTGACTAGGTGACAGTTCTAATAATCTACTCATTTTTACTTCTGAATATTCCTGCATTAACAGGAGCTTTAGGGGGATACCTCATACCTAAACCATAACCCAAAGGCTATTTTCTAACTCTCTGTTGTAGAAAAACAAGCTATTTCTTAAGAGTGGATTTAAAATGACTAAAAGTTTAGAATATATTTGGGGAACAACTTAATCTCTGAAAAGTCATCTTTCAAACTGTTCACATGTGTCATTCTTCCCCCTTTTGGATTTTTTTAAGTAAAACATTTTATTTTAATTTAAAAAAAAATAACAAAAATCTAGATTAACTGAAACCTTGCCAAAGTCGTAAAGAAAAAAAAAAGTTCACATACACCTTCACCCAGCTGCTTCTTCTGTTAACATCTTATATTTAACAACCTCAACTGGTCTATTTATCAAGTTAAGTCATTAACATTGGTACAATAGTAATTGCTGAACTACAGAGTTCATTCAGAACTTGCCCGTTTTTCCACCAATGTTCCCTTTTCTGTTCCAGAATCCAATCCAGTATATGAGAAGGCTCTTTCAGTTAATTGTTAGCCTAGGCAAAGCTCCTAAGTAAATGTGATAGGTCAGCTGCTGTTTTGTAAGAAGGTGAAAAGATGAATGTCAACTCTGGTTCTTTTCTAGTAACTCTGGGAGGAAACCACAGACCTTCAGCAACCAAGCGCAAGCACCCTGTATGGCAAGCAGGGCCACCTGTTTCACACTGGTGCTTGGGATAGTTTCCACCTGCTTCTCTGGGCCCGCCTGACTGACTCTAAGTAAACGATGAAGTGCTTAGGCGGCTTTTGGCTCCAGTCGTTGGAACTCGTTTTGCTCAGGGTATGCTGCAGACCATAAACAGCCCGTAAACGGTTGCTCATTTCCCTGACAAATTTAGCCTCAAGACTGCACTTCTCTCCCAAATCATCACCCTGTTCTGCCCTTCCTTTCCCTTTAATATCAACACAGCCCATTTAAAATGGGAGATGAGACCACTCTTCCACTCAGAACCTTTCAAATCCTACCATCTCTCTCTATGAAAATCAAAGATCCTAAATGGTTTCATGCTGGCAGCTGGAAGCTGTGCCCTGTGCCCCCTGACCCTGACCCCACCACCATCATTTACTCACCCTCGTTTACCCTTCTCTAGCCACACTGGCTTCACTGCCATTCCTCAAAAAGGTCAGGCACAATCCCACCTCAGGGCCTTTGCACTTACTTCTCCCAATACTTAGAATCCCCCAACCCTAGGAATCCCAAGTGTTATCCCATCATTCCTTCAGATCCTGGCTCCGTCTAGTCCCATTCACCTCTCTCCTATTCTGCCCACATGCAGAGCTTAGTGAGCTCTCATTCTCTCTCACCCAAGGGAGGAATCTCTGCATCACTCCCCCATTGGCCAGATAAAAATATACCTCTTTGGAAACATTGACCAGAAGGACAGTTTGCATAATAAATCTCAGGTAACTAATTCTGATGGAATTAGTGAGATCTACATCCAAAATATTCACTTCTCTCAACTTAAGGGAAAGAGGAGAAATCCAAAAGCAAAAGGCCTCTGATCCAGCAATTTCCAACTCTCTCTACCAGCTTTCTACTTAAAAGGTAGGCAGAAGAGATGAAAGCTTTGACTCACATCTGAGCCAGGCAGTGGCCCACGCCTTTAATCCCAGCTACTCAGGAGGATCACAAAGTTTGAAACCAGCCTGTGCAACTTAGCAGGACCATGTCTCAAAATAAAACAAAGGGCCAGGGGTAAACCTCCTTGGTAGAGCACTTCCCTACAATGTGCAAGGCCCTGGATTCAATCCCCAGCACTGCCAAAAGGGAAAGAGAATGGGAGTCACATCTGATAGAGAGAAGCCATCCTATCCTCCAGTGCTTTAGAGTAGTGGGTGGAACTGCGGAGGCAAGAGGGCCCAAAGAGACCAAGTAGGATTTTGAGCCATAGAAGTCATACCTCCCTTGGTATCACTCAGATAGAAGCAATGTGCTTTTCTGGGATGCTATTTTAGATGAGGTAAGAACAGGTTTAAAGTGGAAAACTCTTCTTAAACTACTCACATATGAAGTGTCTCTTTTTGTGTCAAGACTCTGAATGAAAGAAACTGAATTTCCTATTATTTTTCTCCTTCTTATCCTTTCCTCTTCTTAGAATTCATGAATTTGCTAAAGTCATTTAT